TCACAAGCAAAGAGGAGATAGGGCAACTTTGTATAGAACTAATGAAGAGATTAACACAACACAAATCGAGGCTAGAAATCTGAAATGTCGTACTTATGGGATATTTTGTCGTCGAAGTACACGTCTAGTGTGTAGAACCAGGCGAGATAGTGGCCAAACGTGCGACGTGACGGCCGATTTGATTTTTGATATTTCCTAAAATGGAGGAGATATAAATTACGTCATGAAATAAACTAAACATGTTTTAAAATCAACCATTTTAAAATTATTTGGAAGCATGTGTCTGTAAACATGTGAGTGTTAGGTACTTAATCGGTACGTACTTTTTTTAACACATTACAAACTACACGTACCTATGACATACGTAGGTACTTATTTCATGTCTTGCCAAATAAAGCAGAGCTTATCTATTTATAAGCAATTTTGACAGTCGAGACAAAGGCAGTGCAAGTAAACCACTATGTTGTAACGTTAAAGTTAACGTTATTTAAATCTTTCGGTTCAACAATTTGAAAAGGTTTTGGTGCAGTGACAGCAGGATCATCTTGCATCATAGGATTAGTTTAAAACTACTTTCTTTGTACATTGTGTCGCCGGGGACAGAGTGCCAGTACTGCCGGTGGTCTCTGGGATTGTACAACTACAGAGACAGAGCTTTGAAGTAGCAGACCGCCAACACTGCACGAGACTACACTTACAAATTGAACGTTGTTTATACTGAGATAAGGTAGCAACTTGTTTGCGGGTTAACCGAGTCTTGCTATAGACTAGCTAAACATGAGACGCAATAGTTAAGAGAATATTCCACTTCGGTGCCCACATAAATGGAGTGTCTATTGTCACTTGTCACTAGTCTAAAGATTTTGACAATGTATAATATTTGAAGTATTTTTATTTAAAATGCAATGTACACTTGTATAAAGATGGCAAACGGTACTTATTTCGTAATTAGTGCAAGTCAGGGTTCTTGGAAGGAGCCCCACGACGGAGATAACATGCAAATTGTATAATCTGCATTGTGTTACAGTTTCAAAGAACAACCCTTTCTGTCTGGCAGTCAGAAACAATGCGATGGTTTGCAAGTTTGCGAAATAAAACTTTCTTTAGAACAGTGAATATACCGTTACTTACCTATTTACACCGTGCTAGGGACCGAGCTGGCGGGCTTAACTAATATTTACAATGAAGTATTCTATAGTAATATTAATTTGGTGCAACAAACATTGCTAGGAAGTAAGATGTATCTACTTACATAATAGTATCCTGATGTAAAGTTTGCCAAATTGGAGAAAACCTGAGCGACGATGCCGCCACGATGAGCTAATATTGACGAGTTATTCTAATGTGTTTGAGAGTCGGCCAGTGGGACGGTCGCCTGCACAAAAACAACAAGAATCCTTTGACAGACAAACACTCACATTGTCCCCGGGCGACCGCGACACGCGCCATGTTGTTGCACACAGTTTCACGTGAGAATATTGATACCTAGCTGCAGTGCTGGAGTAATCACGTAGCCAGAGTAGCACTTGCTATGGGTCCCGCGTAGCCAAGCTTATCTTTACTTCATCTTAGAGTACGTCTTTCTTATAGTGAAACGTTACAGCAGCACATGTCTTCTATAAGCTTCATTAAAGCTAAATAGTTTGGGAAAGATGACCACCATCCTTACTTTTACTTCCATCATGTAAATATAAAATCGAAGGCCCCTCCATTTTGCTACGGGCCCCGCGCTTGATTAAACTGTCAAACACCAAGCGGTCACCGGTGACCGCAACCTATTGTTCTTAATTGTGTCTATAATGAAGGTGCTCGACGAGTTAATCCGCCACTGGTTAACTGGCACTATGGTAGTCATACAATGTTGTCGCGGAGAACCTAACGGGTAACCGGGGCTCCGGCTCGACGTGCAGGAGAAGGAACGGGGTGGTTTTTAGTCAGTAAGAGTCTGACACTCCCTCCCGCCTCACCCAGACGGGAGCAGTCATTCGATGATATTCCCCCCTTAAAAAAAAAGTCATACAATTTGGCTTTAACCATGAAACCCTATAATTACATATTACAGTGAGAACAACAAAAATAATATACACATTATGTATACTTAATGGTTAGTAATGATATCAAAATATGCAGTTGTAACTTTTAAGGCCATTTCTGGTACTAACTCGTCGACTTTTTTTATCTTTGACACCGACTTAAAAAAATCGATTGTGCCGCGATTATCACGCAATAGGTTGAACAGATGTTGATGAATAGTGTTTTTACTTAGGAGCAGGATTTAGTGTATTAACCTTCTTTATTTATTTATTCATTCATGTACACCACATAGACAATACACAGAAGAAAAAAAATATATATATAACAAAACAGAGGTAGGTACATAGGTACTGCATATCCCTTATGGAATTTCTTCATGCAGCCCTGCGAGAGGAGACATAAATACAACATACGACACAGTGTTTAACAACAAGAAAAAAACAAACAACCAAGAAGAAGACAGTGAAAACTTAAACTAATAATTAAAACTACTTACAGACTAACCAAAATAATACAATAAAAACATACAAAATAAATAATATAAATAAGTACTTATACATATATATCCAACAAAATATAGAAATGTAATAGATACACATTATTATACATAAAACATGTAAATAATATATAATACTATATAATAATATACATACGATATAACACAATCTGTACGTTAAGAGGAAAGGTGATAATGTTCCCTCACACATTTCTAAAAGATTGATATAGACTTAGAGTCACGTATGTTAGGCGGGAGCGCATTCCACAGCCTCACCGCATGAACCGAGAAAGAATAAGAGTAGTGGTCGGTTTTATGGGATACAATTTGGAGATGTGATTTAAGATTTGATCGGGAAAGGAAAAACGTTCACGAAGGTAAGAAGGATAATTAAGTTGAATTAAAAAGGATATTGTAGAGAAGACATAAAATGCGAGGGTTCCTGCGAAGGCGGATTGGGAGCCACTTGTGTTTTTTACAATATATAATACTATATAATAATATACATACGATATAACACAATCTGTACGTTAAGAGGAAAGGTGATAATGTTCCCTCACACATTTCTAAAAGATTGATATAGACTTAGAGTCACGTATGTTAGGCGGGAGCGCATTCCACAGCCTCACCGCATGAACCGAGAAAGAATAAGAGTAGTGGTCGGTTTTATGGGATATAATTTGGAGATGTGATCGGGAAAGGGAATCAGGAGGACCAGCAAAGGAAAAACGTTCACGAAGGTAAGAGGTAAGGTATTAAAGTGGGTCCTAAAAGGTCGAAGGTATATCAAACACCCCCCGGCCAGAGGATATCACTGATTTGAGAGCTTCTTTAGGAACAGTTAATGGACATCAATTTAAGCACTATGCTGGTACCGTTGTATAGGTTGTTAGGAAAGGGGGTACCTTCGAAATTGGACAGTGAGTGTGAGGAGACTTTTAATAAAATTAAAAAGGTTATGGCCCTAACAAACTTTGCGGCGGAGAAGCACTATTCGCAAATCGAGCGGGAGCTATAGTGTTTTGCTTAGAAAAAGTACACCCGTATTTTTATAAGGTCGACGTTTTACACTACGCACGGACAAGACATTAGTTATAAAATACAAAAAAAACACCAAGTAGCATACTAGATCTTAATGAAAGTAAATTTAAAACATATATTAAGCGCGAATTGTGTAAACAAGCTTACTACAGAGTGATTGATTATCTTGAGGATAGGAATGCTTGGCAGCGTGTTGGGTCGGCTCCACTGGACAATACTCAAATGTAGTCAGTACCTGGTTCAGATTCCGATAATATAGGTAATTTAAACATGTCTGTTGTCGGCCAGGATCAAATTACAAGGACTCATAGTTTAACTTAGAGATTTAAGTAATAGTTGCTTAAAGCTCTAGAGGTAGCTAAGGTACGAGTTACACTTAATATACGCATCACAGATGCGCATATAGAACAGAAGAATAGTTACGACTGATATCAGAATTATGTTTAATTAGGAGATACCTAAATACTTGTCATGTACCTACGTAATAATTACCCGACGACCGAGAGGGTTATGCTTTTGACCGACTTTCCTTTTTGTTTTTGTATTTAGGTAGTAGTATTGTAAGTCTAAGGTTATGAAGTTTCATCTACCGCCTGACGCAGGTGCTTACCGGAAACGGAAGTTTCTATAGTTTCCGGTTTCAGACTGGGCTGGAGGACACGCCCGGCTCTAGTTCAGACTATGATACAGAGCGAAAGGGACTAGGATGCCGTCTCCTCCTTCTGCAAAGCAATCAAGCTAGCTAAGGAGGAGGCGCGGAGCGTGAGGGAATGAACCTTCTCACGCCACAGCCATCGCGTCGAGAGACACTCTGGGCGTCGGGGATCGCGAGATGATCTCCGGCCACCGCAAGCACCGGGCCTGCGGACGACCAAAGCCACACCCGAGCATACGGCGCGTCGCTTCCCGCGAGCGCCTCAAAGAGCCACCAGACCACCACAGATAGGGCCCAAAAGGACTGATGCTGATACGGAGCAGCGGAAGACTTAACGGGTTGCCGCGGCTCCGGCTCAAAGAGAAGGAGTAGGAATGGGGTGGTATTTAGTCAGTGAAAGAGTCTGACACTCCCTCTCGCCTCACCCGGGCGAGAAAGGTCATTGGATGATCTTACCTCTCAAAAAATAAAAAAAGGTTATGAAATTGATGTGAAAATATGAAGGCAGTCATATTAAAGATGCTTTTCATGCTTTTATTCAATCTTGTTTATATATTACAATATTTACAAATATGTGTTTTGATTTTAAATGCCTATCTAAAAGATAATATTACACAATAAAAAATTGCACGTCGATAATATTAAAAGCTTATAACCATTTCATGGCTTCACTTGAATCAGTCATGCTACGTAATATTTGTACATCGTTCAGGAACATTCAGTATCACAGCTGTGTGTATGTGTGTGTGTGTATGTGTGTGCTGGTGGTCCGCACTAGCACAGACAGGAGCGGCGGCAGCGTGTGCAGGCGCGGGAGCGCAGCGTCGCCTTGAGCGCCGCCAGCTGCTGCTTCAGGTACGACAGCTCCACCGACAGTTCTACCTCGCGCAGCTTCCGCCGGTCGCGGCTCTTCTTCGCCGCCGCGTTATTCTTCTCGCGCGTGCGTCGGTAGGCGTCGTCTTCCGCCGCGGTGCCGGCGTGCGCTTGCGACCGCACAGCGCGACGCATGTTCGGATTGCTTCCGACTAAAGTGCCACCTCGGTGAGCTTTTATGGCAGCCATGGCAGCCTCAACGTAACGCTGATATCCTGGATCCAGCTCTGCATTTACCTCCGGTGCTGAAACGGCGGCGGGTGGGCCAGGCAGGGATGACGATGACGGCGTACTTAAAGATTGGTAGCCTGAACTACCACCTGAGGAAACTTGACCATCCCCATGGCGTAGCGGCAGCGGCAGGTACCCTGGCTCCTCTGTCGTCTGAGTCGTCTCATCGACAGTGTTGACTTCTTCTAAACTAAATGGTCTCCAGATAGACATGATTGCATGGGCAAGGATGACTAAGGAATGCCGTTCCCGAGGTGGCCGCTGGCCGCTCTCGTATACTCGAAGGGCGGGGTGGCGGGGAGCGCAAACGTCAGCTTATAGCGCCGCCCATTGGCTGTCCCGACATCGTGATTGTTCGTGCACCAACGTGTGATTTATTTGCAGCGAAATGAAAAGATGTGTATCGTGAATGTTTAATGTTATTGTACTTTTTATATTAAGATTAAATATCCCTATTACATAAGAGTGAAGTAGTAATAATAAGTTAATTTTAGCTATCTAATGTTTTGGCTTACGCTGTAAAATTATGCGTGTATTTATTTTACAATTCTTATTGTATTTGGGTACCTGCTAAACTTGTGACATCGTTATCTTTATTTATATTAAACTGTCAAACACCAAGCGGTCACCGGTTACCGCAACCTATTGTTCTATAATTGTGTCTACAAAACCGGTACTCGACGAGTTAAACTCTGCAAAAGAATCAATAGGTATATCATTAATCAATAACGACGTTTAATATATTTGTTTGTTAACGACTTTGTTTGTCACTTCACGTTTTGTTCTCTGCGGGAATGTGTTGAACTTTGTACCAATTACCTAATAATCCCACATCTAGCGTAAACAACTATTGTAACATGTAATTATCCACTTAATCACATAGAATAGTTATAGTGGCAATCTCGATACTGTAACTAATCAAACTCGAATAGGTTACTATGTAGTCAAGTCAACATGTGTTATTTATACAAGATACTAGAGTGCATTATTGTGTGTCGCCAGAAACCACCACGTGACGGACAATCGCAGCTTCAATTAGCTACCCACACACTGACAGCCTCCACAAAGCTCGTGCCGCCGACACAGACATGCGGCCGCACTGTTTTACAATATTACACGCAGCCTGTCATTTGTGTGACGTCACAACGTCTTCGTTTACTGCACTACATACTGATCAGCAATGAAGCCCACAATACCTCACTGGCCACCGGCCGGCAGCTTCAATTACCACGTCTTTTGTTTAGTTAATGTTGTCTAACACAATAATATTTTATTGTATTGTGTAATAATATTCTAGTGTATTGTCCACACAAAGCTGTACGTTCTTTGGTACTTTAGAAACAGTTACGTCTAACGAATAAGTTATTGTTACCTGTTCCTATACGATATAATAACACGCGATGTTATTACTGGTCTTACATTAGGTCCTCTCAGGAAGCTACTAAAGGATCCTCAAATAATTACAATTTCACAAAAAATACATTTTCATTTAAAATCTTGTCAAAACGAGACCATAGTTATAACTCGCACGTGTCGATCTAATCACGCAGTCCAAACGTAACTAGATCTCATACAGAGAATAGTACCTAACCTTACATACCCAGCTCTAACTTAAGTGTAAAGTTAGTACTTATGTATAACCTACATATCTGTGGATTTTCGCTAAGTTGCGGCGATGTACTACGGCCGTAGCTCGTAGCGCATTGCGTAGCACGTGTCTACGTGCTATCGTAGCGAGCGTAGCAGACTTCTTCCCCTAAATTTCATAGGTTGGTACCCTGTACTTTGATAATTGTAATGATCATCGCGACATTTATTTAGATATCAATAAAATCTAAAGTAACTAAAGCTTTTAAATAGTTACTTTAATTAGTCTACTATAGACTTCATATTCCGAAATCTTACATAATTCAAACCCAAACCAGAGATATTAGCTTCATACTCACAAACGTTTTGCAATACTTCATATTTGGTGTAAAAAGTGGCATTGTGTAATGAAAGCGACAGATCCTATTCACCGGACCACCGTGACATCATAATCGCAGTAAAGAGTTACATACACAATGCGACTGCCGGACGACAGTTGCGACATTAGTGTCGCCTGGCCGGCTCCAATGCGCCGTGTGTCGTGGACATGCGCATGAGTGGCGTGCTGAGATGCCGCGGAAATGATTTCAATGTATATTGTTATTGATATAACAGACCGGACTGTCGGTCCCTCGGTAATTGAAATATTTCGACCTTTTTTACTTTGTATTATATAGTATCCGAGAAACATCTTAACTGCAAGTTCTCATGCCGAAATATCGGTAGATAGTGACTAGACTTTGTACCAATAATGGATGTCTATGTAGCTTGGTAGCTGCTGACCCTAAAGTATTTAACCTTCATGTTATTAAAATTAATAAAGGAATAAGTATTTTTGTCAAAGACGCTATTATCATAAATCTGCAAAAGAATGAATATGTTATTAATTAATGATCGTTTAATATATTTGTTTGTTAATGATTTTGTTTGTCACTTCACGTTTTGTTCTGTGCGCAAATGTGTTGAACTTTGTGCCAATTACCGCGAACTGGCAATAATCCCGCATCTAGCGTAAACAACTATTGTGCACACACACTATGGTACACATTAAGTAATGCAAATCATTTGATAATAAGCACATCTTTGCTAATTGTTTATCTGGAACAAATAGTTGATTGTATAATTTAGATTTTATCATTTAGAAGGATCTGTGTCACCGGAAGTTCTCAATAATTAAAGTACTGAACGTTATAAATGTATTCCATAGCTATCACTATCCGACATTATTTCCCTCTATAGCTAGTGCAAGCGTAACATATGTCTGTGTGTGGTGAGCCACGGATACAGGCTGAATACAGGCGGCCAGTGAACAGTCCCAGCAGTAGTCCCGGATGTAGGTTCATCAATCTGTAGCACAATGTGTCGCCTGCGCACGTCGCCCACCGCTGGACAACGTGATCGATCGATGCGTCGCGTCGGTAGCTGTACAGCGGGAGTTGTGCAGTTGTGTGCCATTAGTTGAGTTTCCGGTATACTGTACCCAGCCACAATGTCGTTGCGAATAAATGGCAGAGATACAGAATTAGATACATCGAGCTAGCACTACTGCCACTACTGCTGACTGTCAACTTGATGGTGAGTAAATATATTTACCCACTGCATTAACATATACTGGTATACTTATATATGGTATACTTCAGCACACAGGTAGCCAGGTAGCCAGGTAGCTACTTCTATGCAGGCCTAAATAAATGTCGTGGGTCTTAAATATTGAACTGCAGCGGTGTGGACAAAATACCAGAAAGATACACTTTTTTATTAATTGTTAATTTGACACAAAGAAAGGATAATAGTAAAGTAAGTCGCCCCTATCCCAAACATTACATAGACGGCGCGGCAACCCTTCGCAAGGGGTGTCGCAATCATTGACAGCACGCTGAGGACCTCGAGCGAAACACTATTAAACCATTAACTAAAGACAATCTAAAACAAACTTTATAGTAATAAGTACAAGGCTGAAACTCGCAGTGACATGGTTGTGGTGATGTGACCACAGTTGTGCTGATGTTGATTTACTCGCCAATGTAATGTATTATATTATAACAATGTGTGCAGCTCACACGGCGCGCCGCCCGGCGCCGCTCGCGGGCTCGCAACGTGTGAGGAACGTTGCTTGGGATCACACGGAAATGTGACAAATACAAAATGGCACCACCTTACTCTATGTACTTAAGTATGTATGCATATCATTTGTAAGAGATTGCACACGATATTACTTGACCACGCTCACAATCATTCGACTAACGACGAAACATAAATTAGCTCTCAAGGTTTGTGAATTCTTTGTGAATAAAAATACTCATTGATTGTTGACAAACAATCAATAATTGTCAGTTTGTAACGTATTGTTTAAGTGGTCTGGTATTACCAACTCTAAAGTGAAAGCAATATTTCTCTATTCATAATAACAAAATACATTTTTGAAAGCATTAAAATGTAACTCGTTAAGGAGCTTATAGCAATAAACATTCGTAAAGGATTAACTCGAGGTGTAAAACAATTGACGGTGCGCAGCTTGTGAACTGAGCGAGGACACAATGCAGGGACGAGGAATTATTGCTATTGTGTTGTGGACTTGTTCTGGTACCGTCGACATTGTCTAACTGTACCTACTTACTTACCGTGGTGATTGAGCCTGGCTGAAACCATCTGTTGTTCAAATTATTCCGTGGGCCGCAGATATTTTAAATACTGTACGACTGTACGCGTCATTATAAAAGGAACAGCCCCGTTCAAAACGGGACGTCTGGTCATGTGACTATATAACTATCCCATGAGTAAATAAGCACAGTTCCACTGTCACAAAAAATGTAGGCGCCTGCCTACAAACGGCAATAAACCTCGTAACTTCGGACCAATCCCGCGCCTCGCGTCCCGCGCGCATTGTGCAAGCCGCCATGACACCTCCCGGTCCGCGCGGTGTAATACAGCTGTACAACTTGTGCAACCAATGCACTCCGCGCTCACATATTTATATTATTTACCTAGCTGGCTACATTGCTGGTTTTATTATTGCTAACGGAGCATACTGACAAATACCTCTACATTACGGGTGACCTGACCGGATGGTAAATGGTCAAGTACCTATACTATGCATCGTATTATCGAACCTTAAGATCCAAATAAAGTATATTTCTTTATATTATATGATATATTGTACTGTCACGTCGCACGGGGTTCTGCAGTAATTGAGTGAGGGTGCTCCCCTAACCAGCGCAATACATAACCCCTTGCGTGTGTCGGCGGTGGGGCGCGCGGAGTGTTGAGTATTGATCCATTGATTCATGCAACAATTTCAGTGATTCATCATCATCAACAGCCTATAAATGTCCACTGCTGAGCAAAGCCTCTTCTCTCACGTAGAAGGTTTGAGTATTAATCACGACGCTTGCTTAATGCGGGTTGCCGATAGCTCAGGATTCCTCACGATGTTTTCCTTCACCGTTTGTCAGTGGTGTCTAGATAATCTTAGAAAGTACATATAACTCGGAAAATGTCATATTGGTCTTGCCGTTGGTCGGTTTCGAACCCGCACCCTCATGCATGTGAAGCGGGCTTCTTAAACCTTCGGGCCACCACGATACATTTCAGTGATTAATTTATATTAATTATTTATACTTCTAGGTGTTTTATTAGATTAGAAATGTACGACATTAAACTTTTCTAACGTGTCGTTGGAAACTTTCATGATTTAACATTTCAAATGAATGTAGGCACTACAGTGTTGATTTCTTTACATGTAAAAATAAATACCATAGTTGTAAAACATGAGTGGGAGCGGCCAGCGCACGTTTAGTGTGTCACCACAAGCTTCGTACCGACCAATGAGCGAAGAGATGTATTGTGCAATGTAGGTACCTACGTATGGTATGTATGTATGTGTGTAACTACTGAAGTGTTGGATATCTTTGAGTAGATACATATTGTGTAGATACCTACACTGTGCCTACACGTAGCTCTATTTAAGTAGTCTCTTTCGTGTTTGTAAGAAAATTATATTTTTACAAATGGAAGTTACAAATAAATTTATCTTGCCTACACCTGTTTTAAGATTTATCATTTTTTTATTTTCCACTTGGGAACTATAATACAGTGACACACAGACCCGGAACTATTGTGGATCACACAAAAAGTTGCCTTGTTGGTCGAATGGCCGCAAGTCCGACTGCCTGCTGGGTAAGGGGTTCCGGGTTCGATTCCCGGGTCAGGTAAAATGTCATTGGATTTTGTCCTTGACTTCAAAGAACAAGGAGGTTGCAGTTGTTTTTTTATTAAACGTATCTATGTTATGTTATTCTAAAAAATGTTCAGTGGTAGCAATTATGCTCGATATACGGCAATTTACTTATCCTCATTTACATGGGAATTATAACATAAGCGGTGAAAATTAGGCGTAGTACATTATAATGTACTACGCCTAATTTTCACTTATAAGTACAGTGGCATTACGTGCCATGATATATATTTCTGCTAACCACTTCGAAGATAAAGGGCGTGATGGTATAAAAAAAACTACGTGCGGGAATCGAACCCGCCTCATGTTGCAGTCCATGCAGTCAGTAGGTACCTACATCTAACCTTTCGAAGGTGAACTGGGGAGTTTTGAAACAGACCAAAACTAAAAAGTTGTTGGTAAATATAAATAGATTTTAATTATACACTTTCTTTTCTTATCTAACTTTAGTCTAGTCTGGATTTGTCTTCTCTGTTAGTTCGTCTACCTGTTTTATACATTCAATGGATATTAGGCGCATGATTTATTTATGATGACACCAGCACACTGAAGTACTTCTGACCAAATGAAATGGGACTTCGAACCCACTACTATCTTTATAACTATCGTGGAAGGGACACGGTTCCAATCAGTCGCTGACCTTTGTGTAGTTAGTAACAGAGTTTAAGAGTAACAGGAGGTTTCGAAATAGTTAAATTTTCTATTACATTTTTTATCATCTTGCTCAAAACTTTACGATATGGAACAAACAGCTAAGTTTACTGACGGGGTGACTGATGTAGGACATTTTGAAGTTGCCTGAATACCGTCCACCGACAATGACATGATTGCTTCGATACAAATTAAAGTTTGGATTTTACATTGTTTGACGAAGATTCAAATAAAAGTTTGTGTTTGTGTGAACTTCAATTTAATAAATATACTATTTGTGTACACGAGGAGATACAGTTACAATAGGTAAATAGGTATTCACAAAAATAATGGTTTATAGATAAAATGCATTTATTACCAATGTCTCTAAGCTAACCATTCTAATCACACATCACAAATTATTTTTACAAAAACTATACAATTCTACAAAACAATCGCATTCACTCGTCATTCATCACAATAACCTACGTATTTAGTATTACTCACTTTGATTTAGACTTACATACCACTATTTACACACATATATCTATGTATCGTCTTGTTTCCAACAAACACAGGCACCGAATTGCACATAAACTTAGTTCCATAAATTGCACGCACTTGTCAAGTCACTCCTGCAGTCACACTGTCAGCAGTCAGCAGTCAGCAGTTAGCAGGTGCACGGCTGCCGGCAGTGGCGGCACAGCCCGGTTGCCAAACTTGACTTCAGCTCCGCCACTTTCTTCTTCAAGAAGGAGGTCTGCAGCGCGAGCTTCAGCTCTCGCAGCTTCCGTCGGTCGCGGCTCGCCTTCGCCGCGATATTATTCTTCTCCCTTTGTTTTTTATAACTCTCATCAGCCGAGTGGCTACTCTGTACAGCCCTTCTCATTTTGGGTTTGTTCCCCAATAATGAGCCGCCATTTTTGGCGGCCATCGCTCTCATGGCATCCTCTTCAAAAATTTGATACTCTCTATCATCCGATAGAGATTCTGTATCGTATTCTACATTCGCTGACTTATCAGTTGAGTGACCACTGTCATTAGATAGCGGGCGGGGAAGCGACACGTATTGAATTTGTTCCATGCCTGGATAGCTGTAGAAGCTAACCTCCGGGTTAACTGTCTGTCGATAAGCCCCTTGGTACATCTCCGGTATAGATATCGGTTGTGTAGGAGCACTCAGTGCCTGCAACGCAGTAATTTCCTTCACCTTCACTGCAGGCCTCGATAGGTCAAGGGCCTGTTCTTGTGTTTCACAGTACAGCTTCCACACAGAATTCATTTTTCCTCAGAGGACTTATCTGGTAGTAGACTGCTTGACGTAGAAATCACGAATGATCACTGTCGCTCGGTTCTGGCGGACGACCGAGCGTCATTTCAAAGGGGCGGGGCCTAACTGACCACGCTCAGTGGAAGGGGTGTACCTACGCAGGTAGCTGCGCTAACGGACTGAGCTCCAAATGATTTACGTTGTAAAGGGGTAACTGAGTATTATGAATGAAAACTTATTGCGGTAATAAATGTAAGAAAACGGTTAGATTTTGTTCAAACCGTTCTATAAATGATTGTTCCAGGTCAACTAGCTGCTAATATAGCATTTTTTTTTAATTTTAACTGTCATTTCTCAAATTATGTCAAATGTTTACATCATTTGAAATTGTACAAATTTTACTTAGGAACTTAACTAAGTTTAGTTTAAATATTCTATGATCATATTATTATAATAATAGATATTGGCATAGATTACTGAGACCTGTGTATATACTTCACGTTATTCACACAAACAGAAAGTTTTTACTTTTTGTTGGAAGATGTCAACTAGTACCTAAACTAGGTAAGCTTGTGTATGCATGGTATTTTTTAAAAGATAAAATTTGAAAGAAATATCTGTTAGCGCAAATTTTGAAATCAATGCAGCAAGTTCCTCTTTAACTCTTAGGTTCAATGGTTACTGTGACGCCTATAATTTTTATAAGTATTTATATTTTCCAACTACAGCCAAAGTTGAGGGACAACCATTAGTATCATTGTGGCAGCTAGATATCAACATTCTCACGTGAAACTGTACAACAACATGGCGCGTGTCGCGGTCGCCCGGGGACAATGTGAGTGTTTGTCTGTCAAAGGATTCTTGTTGTTTTTACGCAGGCGACCGTCCCACTGGCCGACTCTCACTCACACAAATAAGAATAACTCGTCAATATTAGCTCATCGTGGCGTCATCGTCACTTAGGTTTACTTCAATTTGGCAAACTTTAGATCAGTATACTATTATGTAAGTAGATACATCTTACTTGCTAGCAATGTTTGTTGCACCAAATTAATATTACTATAGAATACTTCATTGTAAATATTAGTTAAGCCCGCCAGCTCGGTCCCTAGCACGGTGTAAATAGGTAAGTAACGGTATATTCACTGTTCTAAAGAAAGTTTTATTTCGCAAACTTGCAAACCATCGCATTGTTCCTGACTGCCAGACAGAGAGGGTTGTTCTTTGAAACTGTAACACAATGCAGATTATACAATTTGCATGTTATCTCCGTCGTGGGGCTCCTTCCAAGAACCCTGACTTGCACTAATTACGAAATAAGTACCGTTTGCCATCTTTATACAAGTGTACATTGCACCGGCAGTACTGGCACTCTGTCCCCGGCGACACAATGTACAAAGAAAGTAGTTTTAAACTAATCCTATGATGCAAGATGATCCGACTGTCACTGCACCAAAACCTTTTCAAATTGTT